ATCCAGTGTTACTACAGGAGGAAACCTAAACTAAACTAACTTTATTTATACTGGATAGCTCTATAAGTTCCAAACTGTTCTTCCTGGAAGTCCAGTAAGGATCATTCCTTGTTTGTGCAGTGTTCTTACAGGAAGAAACTCTTCATTAACTAATTTTTCTACCTACTTGATATAATTTATTATTTGTTCCACATGATATGAACAGAACACAAATATTTCTTTAACCCCAGAGCCCATTAGGAAGTCTACAGTGTAATCCAGGAGTGTACAGTTGACCAAAGGGAGTAGAGCCTAAATAGGGATTGAAATGAATGGCTATTTAATGGGTGGTGCTCATGGTGATGATGACAATGGTGATAATGAAGATGATGGTGACAATGGTGATAATGAAGATGATGGTGACAATGGTGATAATGAAGATGATGGTGAAGATGATAGTGGTGGTCATAATAATAATGAAGATGGTTGCAGGGACAGTCACAATGTTGATAATGATGGTGATAGTGGTGATGGTGAAGGTCATGATAGTGAAGATGATGGTGGTGATGATGGTGAAGGTGATAGTGGTAATGATGGTGATGATGGTGAAGAAGATCAGTGGTGATGATGGTGAGGATAATGGTGAATATGATGGTGATGATGGTGAAGATGATGGTGATGATGGTGAAGATGATGGTGATGATAATGGTGATCATGATAGTGATGATGGTGGTGATGATGGTGAAGATGGTGGTGATGATGGTGAAGATGGTGGTGATGATAGTGGTGACAATGGTGATGATGGTTTGTAATAATGGTGAAGAAGATGGTGATGATGGTGAAGATGGTGATGATGATAATGGTGAAGATGGTGATGATGATGAAGATGATGATAATGGTGATGATGGTGATGATAGTGAAGATGGTGATGATGGTAAAGATGGTGATGATGATAATGGTGATGATGGTGAAGATGATGGTGATGATGATAATGATAGTGAAGATGATGATAGATGGTGGTGATGTTGTAATATCACCACAAATGGTAAAGATGCTGGCAGTGATGGTCATGATCCCTGCCAGGGATCAACAATGGTAATTATTGTGATGACTGACTGACCACAGTAATGATGGTGCTTAGTGCTGATGTCATCATTGCATTTAAATAGTGAAATACTTTCTATCATTTTTACTGCCAGTCTGCCATTACTGTACATAACATAACCAATTTAGAATTCGTCTCCTATTCTGATTAAAACACGCAAAACATGTATGGCTACAACATGCAGCAACCCCTATTAGTAACCTGATAATATCTACAGACACAACAAATAAAACGATGGCCATACAGCCTAACCCAAATACATACCCTAGGTTTTTCCAATGTTATTGGCAAAAATCTGTAATTAAAACTATCTGCGAGTACAACGGCTTGAAGAACATCATCTGGCTTTTCCCAGGAAGCGCTAGGCTGTCCCGATTTCGAATCTTTCTTCTTACTGGGCATTTTTTATCAAAAATATATACATATAAATCTTTATAAACCATTCTTTATTATTGTTTTTGTCCGGTGTTTCCACTCTATGAAAGTTGTAAAAAAATCAAAATGAATTTCCTAAACTTTTTCATACTGTACTTCCACTTCATTGTAAATTTCCTTTTTCCGAATTTTCCGAATAATACGTCATCATTGCGAAACCATTTTAGAACTTTTAAAATCTAAATTTGAATCAAAAATAATCTTCTGAATCTCAAATTCTGTTTCACGTTTTGTAAATATTTTTCCCAAAAATCAAAATTTCTTCCTAAAACTCTAAAAGCAAAAATGTCCGAAGCAAAAATTCTTGTATGCGTGGTCTACCCCCCCAACCAAACTTCAATACGCTCCTCAACCCCCCTGAATTATTGCGAGCCGCTGGAAAAGAATCGCTGGCGTCATGCACATGTTTGTAAATTGTTTCAATTTTTCAAATTTTATTTCGTGAAGTTTCATCGATTTTTTGCGTGTTCTTTTAATTTTTTGGGGAGATTTTTAAAGTAATATAATGGATGTTTTCCCATCTGAAGTGTACCCGTCTATCGACGCGATCGACCATTCCCCAGGTATTTAAAACCATCCATTTTACTTTATGACGTTTTGTCTTTTGAACATACTATTAATATCATATAGAGTTTACAACACATGAAATATGCCTTATGACTGTGGTATCATTCATAACTTGGGTAAATTAGATCGAATTAACTCCAAGCTGAAAAATAGCTTGGCCATGGTGGGACTCGAACCCACAACCTTTAGTTTGCAATCTCATTGCTCGACCAAGCAAGCTACAAGGTCAGGTGGTTTGAGTAGATGATATTTTTGAAACTCAGTCTAGTGGCATTGACCACCTCACAGATGTTAGGTGTGGTGTTATCAATGAATGTGACATCCGGTTTTGTAATCTTTTAACAACACCCTAACAGTCATTCTAAACCGTCACCCACAACAAACTACCACAAGGTGGTCAAACCATAGCATAGTTAGCATCATTGTTTGTGCATCCTTTCGATTAGGACAGAGAATGTGAAAGTCAAAAAGAACAAATTAAAAAAATACCTTTTCTCACACTAGATGGCAAGCTCGCAATTGGGTCGTCAAAACTGACAGGTCGTTACTGGAACGGTTCGTTATGGTTGTTCAAGACGCCCGACCAAGCGCCGGACAGTATATACGCACCCGATAACAAACACTGCAGCTGTTGTGCTTCAACAGACGCCGGTTGCACGGACCTTACCTGGCTTGACGAGAAACGCTTGGCGTTTGCGTCGGATAATGGTATCATCGAGATCTGGTCTACAGGAGAAAGCTTTAATGAAGTCGAGATATTGGCCAATTTAACAGGACATGATGATATTGTGCAAAGCATTTCGGTTAATTGTGACAGAGTTAAAATTGTTAGCGGTAGCTTGGATATGAGGTTAGTGAAATGTGATGATGATGGTGGTAACGATGATGGTGGTGACGATGATGATGATGGTGATGATGATGGTGACGATGGTGATGATGGTGGTGGTGGTGATGATGATGATGGTGATGGTGACGATGATGATGGTGATGATGATGGTGGTGATGATGATGGTGGTGATGATGATGACGTTCATCTGATGGTGGTGATGATGGTGGTGATGATGATGATGGTTGTGATGATGATAATGGTGGTAAACTGGTGATAATGGTTAATGGCATGGCAATCGGGGTCATTCCAAATTGATGCTTTCATCATTACCATAAAATCTTCCTCGTTGTTTTGCAGCATTAGAGTTTGGGATCTTGAAAGGGAAGCTTGTACAGACACATTTCAAGGTACAGATGCAGGACTATAATAGGATCAAAGACCTGTTTCACTTGAGTGTATTTTACAATTCATGATTTGAGTATAAATTCATGTTATTTTATCAGGTCATTCTGATGCTGTACATGGAGTGTGTTTCAGGCAAGAAGAAAAAGAAATCTTTGCATCTGCCTCAGAGGTTAGCAATGTTAGATTGACTTCGAGTCAACAGTTTGTATTGGTATTAAACTGGATTTATGTATTTGTTCAGGATGGTAGCATTATTTTGTGGGATCTTAGAAATGACAAACCAGCAAGACGGTTGTTAAGTAAGTATACCAAAATAACTAGTATAATTTGAGTGTAAGTTCAGTGTGCAAGACTCAATCTGTCCCTTGACAAGTAAAATTGTCTGGCATCAGACAAGTAAAGTAATAAAGACTGGTGCATCGGGCGCAGAGCTTAATAATGGTTAATCTTAATGGCATCATTGCGAAGAGTTCTTTGTGTAGTAATAGATAAAAGAGTGTATAGTTATAATTTGTTTCATTCATTTAGACTCGAGCCATCATTCAGCTGCTCCTCTATGTCTGGCCTGGGATCAAACTGGAAAATATTTAGCAATAGGTGAGGAATGATGCCTTGAAGCTCCATGAACGATTGTCTTGATGGACTACATGTCCGCTTACAGCATTTATACACAGATAAACCACCAGACAAGCTATATATTCTTTACAAGTTCATACAGATGAATCACCTAAGTACATTTTTGTTTTGCATTTATACACTCAGACATATTGTCAAAAGTTGGTCAGGATGGATCATTCATCTCCATTGCAAATAATAGAATATTATGAATACAAACTAGATCTGTCAAATTTGGGAGGTTTAACATTTGGTATTTTTCTCCTAGGCTATAAAGATGGCAGTATTTCATGTTACGATTTAAGGAATATCGATCAACCAGTATTCAAGCGGAAACCTCACTGTCGAGATGTCAATGCCGTAGCATTCTGCCCAAAAAGGTACATACAGATTGGGCAGGGCGCGAAATAACGGCTGGAGGGGTGCCGGTCAAGGTGACCGGCCAACTCAATTTTAGCTCGGACATACCGTATTTCTGGCCGGTCAAATTATTCAGCTTAAAGCAAAGCCTAGTAAAGTATATCCCTAAAAATGTGACCATTTTCCCGTATAGCATTACAAAAAGCCTTACTGTAATCAGTAATTAAAAAGTCCTTCACATAAAACAACTTGCACTGCGCTAACTAATAATTAACTCTTAAGCCAAAAGCATGGCCATGGGCTTTAATTGTGACGTACTGCGTGGGAAAACTGGCGTACATTGCATTTATTTTCCCGCAAGATATTGGACAACATGTTATGGTTCTTAATTATAATGCTTGACAACTTTGTTTTGATTATTAATTCAAATGAAGATTAGTTGTTTGTTCTTTTACCAAAAGTAATCGGTCAAAATGACCGGCAAGGTAAGAATTTGACTGGACAATTCCGCATTCTGGCCGGACATTGTCCGTTGATCGGCCGTTATTTCGCGCCCTAATTGGGTAGAATTTCTATTAGAGATTAATTAATACTCGCCAATAATCTTGTTCACACAAATTTTGCATTGAGTTTCATGTTAGACCGTCTAGTATTGTGGCCTTGCACTAATTTATGTGGTGGCAAGTAGAATTGGAAGATATAGTTTAATTTTCTTGTTTAGGCCATCGTGGTTGGCGTCTGTATCCAATGACTGCATTGTGAACATTTTAGATCTTAATGCTAACCAATCATGGTAAGAAATTACTGTTCATTACATCATATCAGGGCTTGCAATAACAGCCGATCAATGATTGGCAAGAAATTGTTTATGATCAATGGAAAAGCAGGATTTTCAATCAGAGAAAGCAGGGAAAGTCATTACTGCTGATCACCATGATTGGGAACTTTGGGGACGTTATTTCAAGCCCTGTCATATTAACCCATCGAGTGCCGGTGCTCTCAATTGTCTGGCATTAGACAGAGTGCAATTTATAATAAAGTAGGGCACATTGGGGCACAATACAACTTAATGGGATTAAAGCTCGAGATATGTTTGTCTAGTATTAGTGTAAAATGATGCAAATATGCTTGATGCATTGTGAAGCTTCATGTTTTATGGGATTTCTATCTCGATTTGTTTAGCTATCAAAATAATGACCATAAAGATTTTGTTCGTGATTTGTCATGGAGTCCCGTCGACGGCTGCTTACGAACATGTGGCTGGGACACGCAGATCATACGACATACCACAACCATGATAGAGGAGGGAATGGATGCTAAAGTAAACAAAACTGTCGCCTTGGAAACAAGTGTAATCGCAAGAGTCGGATGTAACGGTGTCATCTCAACAGTGAATAAGTCAAATTTGATAGAATAGTCTATGGTATACATACAAAAAAATGTAAAATATAAATAGTATTTTCATGCATGATTGTGTGAAGGTATAAAAAATTCTGAACTGCTTTTCTTATAGTTGAAAGTGTCTTGTGTAAATAACATACCATAACACTAACTCTTGTTAACAGTAATGAATTCTGTTGACTGTTAACCACCTCTAACATAACCAGCTTATTAATGAAAAGTGAAAGATTTGCTACCTAAGTTTACACTATGCTCAATCTTGCTACCCGTTCCACATTGTTATCTGTGCTCGGACTACCTATTTACAAAGGCCGAGCATGGATAAATTTGGTACAGGTACCGTACTAGTTTTATTTGTACCATACCGAAAATTGAGCATGGTGTAAACAGGCCCCTAGTGAACAAAATCCTTGGTGACTACTGTAAAATATTTTTATTTGTAGACAATTCATCTTAATTTCGAAATACATTGATGAAACGCTCCTAAATGACATAATGTGATGTCAACTTTTGCATTGAATTTTTCTCTAAATATTAGTTTGTTCAAGAAGCTTTATTCTACTGTCATACACTCTGACTCACTTTATCTAGTTTATGATTACCACCTTTTATTTGGTATAATACATGGAGCAGCATTTAGGCAGAGTTAGCAGACTTGAAAGCCAAAATGATTAAAACCATGATGGACATTGATAATTTGACTTTGAAACAAATCTATTTCACAGTTCTTGAAGACCCCCTTGTCCAGATATTTTCTGGTCTTAAACATAAAACTTTAAAAAGTTAGACCTGACTGCATAGCATACTACTTTACAGAGACGTGGGATTTACCACAATTTTGTTGATCCGCAGCACACTCAGGGCTTGTCGATGGCCTGGAAAAGTCAAAGCAACACTGTGAGTGATTAACCTTTAATTTAAAGCAGCAATGTGCCCTGATGTGCCATACTTTATTACTTCACTCTGTCTAACACCAGACAATTTTACTCATCATGGGGAGTGGTGCTACTCAATAAATTAAATACACTGAGTAAAATGGACTCTGTCTGTACTCTTTATAGTTGCATGGAAGTTATATGATTCTGAACAGATTATACCTTGTGTTCGCTTGTAGCCTTTTCTTCTTTTCTTTTTGAAAACAATGATTTTCTCAGCTTTCGTGTGTTCTACCATAGTTGCTTGTACGTCAACAGAATTTCGGCTGCAAGTAACAAAGTTTGTTGTTCAGACACAAACCATATACTATAAACTGTGTATAATTATAACAATATAATATTTATATGATCATAATACAATTATCACAACTTACTTGACAAGCGGCTGACCAACAATTGTAAAATTTTCACCTCCTACTAAAAGAACCTGGAAATGTAAAAGTGGGAGTCAGATGCAGGGTCTTTCGCCAGTCTTTAATTCCCATTTTTCTTGACTTGGCATAATGGCAAAATAGTGGAATATATACCATATTAAGGGTTTATTACGAGACAATTTTCTGACCTTTTCTAGTTTTATTTTAGATCCAACTTGGGCAGGTAATTTGTTCACCATTATAATGTCATTGACAACAATCTTAAATTGACTTCCACCTAGGGTTGAACAACAATTTGTCACTTGCTCACGTCGCAATTAAAAATAGTAAACTCCCCAAAACCCGCGTAAACTCACCAATATATACAACAGCAAAAATATTTCCATTGTGCTGTGCAAATTTGACCTCATCTTTCACTTTCGAGAGGATGTCATCACCTGCCAGACAAATTTTAGATTTTTAATTTTTTGTTGCACCATTCCCTTGGATACTATCAATTTCTAAAAGTTTTGCCAACCTAAATCGAGAATTATTGTTTTGGGGTTGGCAATATTTTGCCAACTTGATATTTTGGGAGTTTCAAACATTCTACCTCTTTTTCGAAATTGATCATCGTCGTCATCTGAACACTGCTCTAACAAGGATATATCTTGTGAGTTCTCCTGACCCGTTGATAAACCACACACGGCATTGTCAATGTTCACTGCAAGGTCTTGTAGTCTTCTTATGTGGTTTACAAATGATGGTGAACTAATAACAAAAGCTTGATTATACTAACAGTGAATATATAGGCTCTTCTCTTGGGGGTACATTTTTTTCTGGGATCACCTGCGGAAAATGCAATTGCTATAGTCCCTCCGGCAGAAATTGAACCTGCAATTCCGGTGCATTAACCACAAGTTCATAATGCATACATATACAAGCTAGCTAGTTATGCCAGTTTAAGGCATGCCTGGCATGGGTAAATAGGGTAAAGACCTACCTAAAATAATCATGTTTTGTGCTTGGCTATCAGAAACAAAAATGATCATTGTCCATGAATCATGACTCGTTCTTTAGAAAGACAATTTCTATAGTTTTATTCTTTTTCATTGTTATATAAATCAACCATAGGTGATGACCCGGTAAATATAATAATTTTCAGTCAAAAATTCCATTTTCAAAAAATCCTTCAACATTGAGTCCTGTTGAGTGTGATGCCAGGGGTGTTGGAGGGGTATTAATTAGTTGATCGCCAATCGAATCAGATTAAGGCAATATGCCGATATCCTTGTTCAATTAATATCATGCAAAATAACTTTTCTCCCTTTATACCTGCGTTTTGCCAGATTTTGGAGTATACTGGACAATGCTGGATTGCCTTGAAGACTCGAACTACTTGTCCTGTGCAGCGATTTCAAATAATCTACAAAAAACACACGACCATGCTTTTATCAGTTTCATACCCATCATACATGTTCAATATCATTCAAAAATCAAAATAAAATAAACAACTACATATATACACACAAAAATCACACAACAAATACATTAAGTATTGAACATTAATATTTCGTACTTTGTACATTGGTTTTCCCAGAGATCTTTCTCAAAACAGCGATAGATTTCGTCCCGTTTTGGAAAAAGCTTCTAGCAGTTCGAGCCGCCATATTGGATTTTGAACACAGCCGACCCAAGATGTGATGCAAATTATTTTTATACTCATTTCCAGGGCCTTTTCTGAGAAGCGTGTTATTTTTCCTCCCCCCCCCCCCCCCCC